AAAACAGTTCTTATGTGACTATAAAGCGAAAGAGAACAAAAAAATCCTTTGGAAAATATTACAGAAAAATTACAAGTGCAGTCTAACAGTGAAATCGTGCGAACCAGCATAAAGAACAACAACACCGTTGTAGCACTGCAAACCCGCAGCTATGGATAGTTCACCCGATCTATCCTTGAAGTTACGTCGTGGCTCCAGCGATTCGCGCGACAACTTCTACATGGATTTCGCGCAAGGCATCGACTCTGACATCGAAGAGGTGGATAATAGCGCCTTGACGCTGGAACCTCAACAAGCACCGCCACCACCCTTGCCCTTCGTGGCACCCGAAGATGCACTTGCCGCCGCTGGTTTTATACCGCCTCCACCCCTAGCCATGCAGGGCCAACCGCTGCCAACGCTCACCGAACATGACGACCTGCCACCAACACCACCACCGCACCACCCAATCGGCATCGCAGACGATTCGCCACCCGCCTCGCCAACCTCATCTGTACTCGAAATGATACCACCACCACCACTATCGCCACCCATGGCCACACCACCGCCTGTTCGCGCCATGGCACCACCTTCGCCGCCAATTGAAACCGAAGATGAGGGTGACGATGCTGGCGATGAGGAGGAAGAAGAGGATGATGACAAATCCACTCCGCCACCGCCGTTGCCACCGTTGCCTTCAAATTTTTCTTATGTGCATGGTAACGGTGCACATGGACCTGGTTTGTCGGGCGCGGGCGTAGCTACACCACCGGTCACTAAGTCACCATCAACCTCCCCGTCGCCACCAGACACCCCACCGCCATTACCTATGAAGTTGGCTTCGCCACCACCATCCCTGCAAATGCAAATGCCCATGCCGCCATTGACACCGCCTTCGGAGAGTGATCAATCGCAACCTAACTCACCGCCGCCATTGCCACATCATGCCCCAGTACCGCAGTCACCAACACGTTCAGCTGGCTCGGTTGCTAGCTCAGCTGGGTCTCAGCCCCGCTCGATAGGTTCACAACAGCGCGTAGTCGTGGGTTCACCACCACACGCCACCAGTTCCCAACTACGTTCAATGGGATCACCTCAAGGCTCGATTGCCTCACCGCCACATTCGGTGGGTTCTCAGCCACGTTCTATTGGTACGCCACCACGAAGTAGAGATCCTGTGGCAGATCGTTCAGTTACACCACCGCCAGATTTCGGAGAGCCTAGTGATGTGATTGCAGCCGCCTTAGCTGCAGCTGTTGAAGTGAAATCAGCTGAACTGATTCAGGGCATTACCCACGGTGCTGCCTATTATATGATCGACGAAACCAAATCATCAAATGAAGATGAGTCCACGACTATAACCACCCCGCCGAGTAATGGGTATTCGGCGTCTTCTATCATTGCCCCACCCGCTGATCAGTTGGGTGAGTTGGAGCAGGATGCCGGTTTGATGTTAGCTGACATACCACCCCCACCAGGTATGGAAGATGAAGCACCAGAAGAAGATCAGTTAGAAGGAATGGAAATAGAGGAAGAAAGTAAAAAGCAGACAGAAGAGCCTATGGAAGTCGACGAATTAACTGAAGAAGGTGAAGTTTCAAGTGAAAAAACTCCCATGTCTGAGCGTCAACTAAGCGATGCTATAACAGAGGATCACACAACTGCCGATACCCCAGCAGACGAGGTGGTTGAGGCTCGTGGCACGCCGACATCACAAGCAACACCACGTAGCACGCCGCATCCTACACCACCACCCTCTGGTTCGCCTAAGAAAAAACGCAGTAGTGTAACCGGCAGCGGTGCCGGCAGTCGTGGGCCAAGCCGTAGCGCTAGTCGTAGCGGTAGCCACAGCGGTAGTCATGGCGGTAGTCGCACTGCTAGTCGCAGCGGCAGCGTACGCGGCAGTATTGCATCGCGTGCAGGTAGCATAGCAGCCACCTCGGTTGCTTCGGCTGCAGCATCCATTGCATCTGGTTCGCATGGCGTGATTGAAGTAGCAGCGGCAACGGCAGCAGCTGTGGCATCACCGCAAACCTCAGTCAAGTCGGTACGCAGTCAACCGTCAATAAAGTCGTCTTACTCTAAACATAGCGCATCGCCACCAATGATGAAAAGTCCACCGGAGGGCGATCGGGCACCGGTGATGCCATCGCCACCAACAATGCGCTCACCACTTCTATTAAAGAGTCCACCATTAATGCATAGTCCACCGAAGGTGACCAGTCCACCGAGAGTGTATAGTCCACCGTTGGTAGGTAGTCCACCTACGCGCAAAACGGATGCTGGAGATTTGAAAAAAGAAGAGGACGAAAAGCAAGCGAAGGGTGCAGCTGCAAGGTAAGTGCGCCATAACCTTTTATTACCTTCCTATATGTATATTGAATTTATTATAAAAATGGGAAAATCACTTTTGGCGAAATGAAGATGGAAGATATTGAATGCAAAATACAAATTTCAGTAAATCATGCAAGGTTATTGTTTGGAGCGAGTTGTCAAAACAAATACGACTAATTTTTTTTCGTATTTCAAAAAAATCATAATGTTGTTTTTTTTTTTTTAAATAACTTTAGAAAGTTTACTAATAGAATGTTCATGTTAAAGGCAATGATAGCTGTTATCATAAGCAACATACCTGCGAAGTTTCAAGAGTGTGCCACCAAGTTAAAAAAAGTGGCAGCATGCAGAATATCTGTTGTAGCTATTTTGTAATTTTTGAAATCTAATGATTTTTTCGTTTTTTAAAGTTTAAGTTCCTTCATAATTTTAACATTAAACGGAGAAAATATTCTTCTTGCCCAAACGAACCACTCAAGAGTAGTGAAACTAGTGCGCTACTAAACAAAAAAATACATTGATTACACCGTGCGACAGTAAATTTTACACACAAAATGAAATATATTCGCGAAAATATAGGTAAATTATAGTAAAACTGCGTACTGAGTTTTTCTCTCTAACGTCAGGATTTTTTTAAAGGACTTTGAAATTTAAAAAATATGATTATTTCCAAAAATTATTTAAAAATTTTAGTGCAATGTATGATAACAATAAGGATATCGTGTAAAAGAAAAAATTCTGTGTAACTATAAAAGAATACATTTTTTGGTGCGTATGTACGAATGGGTATGGAAAATGTCCTTTACAAATGTTGTCCTTAAATATCCTTGAAAATATATATATTTCTTTTAATTATTGTTTGAGGACTAATATACGCACGGCCTCATCTATCGAGTTTCGTCTTGCAAACTTTATTAACCTAAAAAGATAAAATTTATTTAAATTCAATTTCAAACCAAAAAACGTTATCGTTTTTAAATTCTGCAGAATTTTCTCTCTCATTTGGTGCCCATAGTGTTATTCTACATTGCACTGATTTTTTAAAAATAATTTTGTGAATTAATCATATGTTTAAAATTTCGAAATCCTTTGAAAAAAAAAAAATCATGACGTCAGAGTGAAAAACTAAAAACGCAGTTTTACTATATTTGACCCATAGTTTCGTGGGTATATGGATTCTTTCGGGTATTTTGAAATTTTTTTGTTTTTGTCGCACGCTGATGTAAGATTACGATGCATTGCGAAAGAAAAATTCCAAATTTACAATTTATATTTCCTCACTCGAAATTCATTCTAAAATTGTTGTATACATGAAGAAATTAATGTATATGTATATTCGTCGAGAATACTATAGAAAAATATTCAAAGTCAATATTTAATTATTTTTTTAATAGTATGGCTTTTAAGTTAAGGCGCGCGAGTAAACATGTTAGCTGACTATGTATGGTGCTACGGGGCGCATACGTTATATACGCAACTACGAGGCTATGAGCACGAGTTGTTATTTTTTAAATTTTTTAGTACATATTTTTTAAGCTTTAATTTTTGTACAATTTCGCGCTGGAATCTTGTTCTTTATGCAGATAATGCATTCTCTAAGAAAAGTGTTGCCACCATTTTCGACCAAAAACACGTTCTTGTCGAAAATTGTAACAACTCGTGAGATTTGTCCTTTGGTTGGAAACTTTGAGAAAATTTCGTTTGTATACAAATACCCGGAAGCAACTTTTACATACTTTAATACAGATGATTGTAGTTAGATAGGATTTAATTTATTAGACTACACGTAATATATACACATATGTATGTATTTATGTACGCATAACACATTCTAAAGAAAGAGTGGTGGAAAGCCGAGCGCTGGCTTTTTAGCAACGTCACCATTAAAAATCTATGAAACGTTTGCAGAAGCGGGTTAAAGCGCAAGCTATTTATAAAACATAAATAAGTATGTATGTATGTATGTATGCACATATATGTTGAGCCGACTGCATGCAAGTGCAACAGCATGCAAAAGTATTTCTATGCATTAAATTGCATGTGCATTGCCATGCAGTGGTGACGTATTCGAAGTCATTGTCCTGTTTGCAAACATTCGTGGCACGACATGGCCTTTTTCCACTCTAACACTTGTTTGTATAAACTACATACATACATACATAAATAGTTGCTGCAACTACTTGCATGAATGTCATTATTTATTAATGCAATGGAAGAAAAAAGTAATGCGGAAGAAATTATAGAAATGAGAGGTTGAAATTAGAGGCAGAAAGGATAGCGAGATTATACTACATACATACTAAGGCAGTAGGTACATAAATATATATGTATGTAGATTAGCCTGCATCACTCCCCATAAAAAAAATCGGTAATGTTTTCCATTGTACTTATAAAATCTATTATATTCTAAGACTTACGAAAAAATATTTAAACGTTTACGTGAACGGGATCGATTTGAAAATACCTCCAAAAATTTATTTTTTTATGAATAAAAATAGTTTCTTAAGTATTCTTTGGAAAAATCACCTCAAATGAAAAAACAGCTTAAGTTAAAAAAAAATACATAAAAACAAAAAAAAACTGAATTATATTAATGAGATTTTTTGAACTTTTTTCAATTTTTGGTTTAAGAAAAACTTGAATAACAGAGTGAGAAAACACCTTTCCAATGATACATTCTTTCAAAAGGGTAAAAAACAGCATCAAAAATTTTTTTAAAAATATTTTTATGCAGTTTTTTTTTAGCTTAAACCGTTTTATCATATGAGGCGAGTTTTTTGAAAAGATCCTTTAATGAACTATTTTTTATTCATAAAAAACTTCCATTTTTGGAGGTATTTTCAAATCGGTACAGCTCACGTAAATCTTAATATTTTTCCGAAATATTGTGGTGGAAGTCCTCAAATATAATAAATTTTGTAGTCCCGGCGGAAAAACTGCTACTATTTTGGTGATGCAGTCTAAGAGCTTAAACAGACAGCAGCGTTGATCCGAAATAACTCGGACTTATTTCGGATCAACTGCAGTTAATTCCCAAGTTGGTCCGGATCAACCTGCCATCTGTTTATGCTCTAATGTACCTTTTTATAACTTGTGTCATCGGTTCTTTACAAACCTTTTATTAAGACATATCTGCATTAAGGTGGTTTACCTTCGATACAAAAAAGTAATTATATCTACTCTTTTAGTATGGTTTCGGCCATAACTAAATTGCTCTGAAAATCGTATACTCCATGGGAAATAGTTGTATTAGAATTTTGTCTGTGAAATGGTTTTATTATTTTATTTTTTGAATTTTATTTATTAATTAAATGTTTTTATATTATTTAATTGTATTTTATTTTAGTTAATCTTTTATTTTGCCGTTCCGTAGAGCAGCCATATAAAATACCCAACTTTATGGATTTTGTTAATAAAAAAATTTTTGTTTGGAGCTTAGGACTATTTGAGAAGTAAAAGAATTCTTAAATTACATTTACAACCGGTACAAAAACCAATACATTTCGATCGTTGGTAAATTAGTTGTTAATTATAATAAATAAATGCTATTGGAATTTCCGTTAGTTATTCGAACCAAGTGCAGACAGGATCTTGAACAATATTTATGCCCAAGAAGAGAGCTCTAATTTTATTAGTTTACACAAAAAAAAACTACTTAGTTCAAAAAGTGTTTTGTAGTCCATTGCATACTCAGAATCTTGCTGGGAAATCTAATTAAAAAAACTAGAAATTTTTTAGAATGTTTGCTGATTTTTTAGAATATTGCATAAAGTTTGAAACCCGGGGTTTGTTAAAGAATGAACTATATTTTTATAAAAAAATAATCAAAATCAAATTACAACAAAAATAATATGTTACAACTTGTCAAAATATGGTGCGGCTATAATTATTTCGGCCAATGTATATTGAAAATTAAAATGCTTTTCTGCCGAAAAAAATATCTTTTTACTCAAAATGGCAGTAGGTATTTAAATTACAGGAAAATTTTTACTTAAAATAACGCGATCTATGTACAAAAATTATGTATAAAATTTAAACTTTAATTAATTTCACTCTTTCAGCGATTTGCTTTGGTTATCAGCAATTTTCTAAAATCAAATAAAATAAACCATCACATTTACAAGTCGTGTGTAAACAATAGCAAGCCAAGTCGACAGATAATCGCATTAAAACAATAGAAATGTACAGTTGCACATACATATACATACATAGCAACAATCAGCGGATGGATATGAGGTCGCCGTATCAAAACCACAACAATATTGGCGTTAATTCACGCCAACTTTTCTTTTGTCGCTTAAGTCAACAGTGTCCGTGTGTGTTTGTGTGCGTATTGTGACATACATACATACATATGTACATACGCTCATATGCCATAATCATAGCTTATTTAGTGGCGCACAAACAAGCGAAGTATGCGTGGGGAAGTGTTTATGTGTGTGTACGCTTTGCATTTCCTTTGCCTTTGTCTGGTGGAGTTCGATGCGAGGTGAAAGTGTTGGCGCGCCGCAGAAAAAAAAAACACAAAAGCCATAATCCGTTGTCATCTGCATAGCACTCACACTCACTCACCGCCCTTTCCGCTTGCCATTACAGCCGGCGATTTGACAAAGCGCAGACGATTTTTATGAGTTCTTTGTTTTGCAGGCGTGTTGTGCTTCCTTTGCCTATTCGCAATGTAAGACCCCAACAGGCAGACCACTACCCACCCCCCCATTTTTCCAAACGTCACTTATTTTTGCTTTATGTCCTTAGACATCGTTTTGTTTTGTGTTTTTTGTTTTAGGAAATTGGAGTTTCAAAACAAAATGCAAATCCGCTTGGCAGCACTGACACCCCACAACCTCTTCCCCAAAATGTGAGGGGGGAGTGAGTATATCCGCCCGCATGTTTAACTGCGTCGAGTCGCCCATTTTGCCCTCGCATGCTTCGACCCAATATTGTTTTTAAAACACTCAAGCCGAAATGCTGAAACATACTGGCGTACATACGTACATAGATAC